TGGTTTTGCTATGTCTATTAATGCATGAATAAAAATTTCATAAAAATTGTTCTTGCCAGTGAAAACCTGAAAGACTTGATGCTTTATACTTAGGGCTGTATTTACAGTTTAAGTAGGATGTGTGTTCTGTCAACCATAGAAGGGAAGGAAATATATGGATTTCATTCCAGCCTACTGTCTCCTTTGGTGAAAATGACCCAATGTTTTTTTTTCCTGAATTGATAAATACTTCAGCCTTGTTTTCAGTATATATATTTTTTTGCTGATGCTCTTTCACACTTCATCTTCCCCAAACCTACTTTTGCCCATAATTCCTTTAGCATGCTACTAAGCAAGGCTATTTTTGAGAGTCTGGGTTTTTAATAACTTTTGATTTGAGAAACTGACAGGTTGAAAGTCCTTATCTACTCTGATTTCAGTGGAAATTAGATACATAAATATCTCAGTGGAACTGAGCAGTAATGGATGAGCTGCTACCAAAACTGTTTCATCTGTTGAGAAAATAGTCCTCTTCAATAGAGGATTGAATGACAACTGAAATTGCATGCTTAAAAAAAAAAAGACTATTGCCAAAATTAATAGTATAACCTTATTTTGATCTTGAAATAACTCTATCAGAAAAGATTTCTTCATCTCATTAATTCTGGTGAAAACAGGAGACCTTTATCACTAGCTGTTAGACCAGAAGAGATTAATGTGCTTGCTTGGTGGCAAGCTAAGTGTGGTGTACCAAGAAGTTATTTTCTAGGACTAGTAGCAATTAGTATGTTTAATAATATGGAAATGGAATTAAAACGGGAAGAGTATCCTTTTTGGGTTTCACAGATTTACACAAAGGATGCTTTGTTTATATAATAAAGAGATTTTTTAAAATGTAGCTGCTAAAGAAATTTAATGTAAGAAAGAATCAGGTAATTTTAAAAGATAATACTCTGGTTTTAGCTCATAACCAATCTTCCAAAAGTACAGAGAAGATACTACCAAGAGACGTAAGTTAAGGAATGCTCGAGATTAAAGTAAGGAATTACAGTTTTCTCTTGTAGATTTTGTTTTGTGTTATTAGTTCTTGCAATTCTTTTAAGAATGTAGAGATCTTCCATATCTCTTGTTGTGTTTACAGGAAATTTAAAACTTGTTTTAGAGTAACACTTATTAACTATATTCAATGGCATAATTTTTCCTCATGCACAGATTTGTCAATTGTATTTGGGGATTTTATATAGTTAAAACCATACTTTTGTAAAGTTTGAGATAGCCTATTATTAACACAGTCAAACTTGCAACCAAATATAAAAAAAAAGAGAGGAGAAATAATCATTCTAGATTCAGGATATTCTTAGTTGTTGGATTACTGTGTACAGGTATTCTGAGGGCATGTCACTGCAGCACAACTTGTATGTAAAGAAAAAAAATCAAACTTGACAAGAACAGTATTTTTTGCAGTGATCAGACACTTCCTTGACTGAATGTTTTTGGTGTTTTTTTTTTTTTATATAAATAGAAACAGAAAACTAGAGGTTATGTAATAAAAATGAAGTAAAAAATAAAAAGAACAATACAAGAATGAATGTACTAGGGTTCTTGCTTCATTAATGGAAGTTTTAAATTATCAAAAACTATTCAAACAATGAATATATTGTCCTGTTTGCACCTTCTGTCATCTTTCTTTGCTTGCATGCATTTGAAATCATGTTGCAAATGTTTATCTAGAAAATGATAACTCCAGTTGTCCTATATCTGTTCTCTGTTAGGGGGAAGACCTGTTGAGGAGTCTTCAAAGCAGCCCCTCTCTTCTGAGATACAAATGCAATATGGCTTTAGAAGCTAGTAACTTCCACAGTTTAAAAGAGTACTGTGAAGAGACACTTTCATTTTTCTAGATGTGCTTTCTCCATAATAATAATATGTTATTATTTGGGAACTGCTGCTAATGCATACAAGAACACAAAAGTTACTGTTTGAGGGAAAGCAGCTCTGAATGTGTTTGTGGCCTCATCTGTGACTGGGGTATCAGGTGTGGTACTTTGTGTGGCTGGGCAGGTAATACACTTCTCATAGTATGTAGAAACAGCTGCGTTTTTTCCAGTTTTAACTGGGATTCCTTAATTAACCATATTGGTCAGATAAGCTGTCATGTATTCAAAACAATGTCCATTTAGCTTTAACTTTAGAATTATCTTCCATAAACATGAAGATTATAAGCCTTTTTCCCAAGAGTTGGTGGTTTAGTTGGTAGGTTTAGCTTTTCAGTTTGGCCTCAATAGGAGAATACTTATTACTGTCCTATGATTTGTAGTGAGTTCACTTTATATTTATCTATTTGAATCTCTACGTACATGTTTGTATTACTTGAGAATCTGGTGTAAAAAACAAAAGGATAATGCGATTTTTTTTATATAGGCAAAGTGATGGCACACATGTAAACTAGCAGTCTGCAAAGTAGCATTATTTAAAAATATATGCTTAAGCATATATGTGTCTGCTATGATGATGTAACTTTTGAGACATTATCTGCAGCTACAGAATAGTATAAGTTAAAAGAGGATTTTTAAGTCTGTGATACTGAATGCTCAGACTCTCAATCATGCGTGCTTTCATGGAGGTGACATCCTTTTTTGTGATTTATGTTCCTAACCTGCAATGCACAAGAATATTTCCTTACTTGACTCTTTAGTGAACCTAACTTCTAGGAGGATGTCATTTATGCCCCTTTTTCTGAATGAGTTCTGCTGTAAACACAATTAGGCATACAGACTGTTCTTTAAAAAAAAAAACAAATCCCAATATATGCTATTGTTTTCAGGCCACAAGATGCAGACTTTGAGTGGCATATAATATAAAAATGGCACACATGTGCATAATTCATAAACCTATGAGTTGTCAAAGTCAGAAGCAGTCAACCAGTTCTAAAAATGTCGTTGATGTACATAGTGTATTTCAGCCTAAAGGCTGAAAATACCAGCAGCAATGAGTATTGGATATAAAACAACCAGAGCAAAGCTGAGCGTATGGTCAGCCATGTGGAACTGCTTGAAGCCAACATCTCTTCTGAAGGAGCTAGAATTGTCCTATTGAAATATATATTCATGGTTCTTTTATGCTTTGAATATCTGTAGTCCTCAGTCTGTGAATAAATGTGCTGCTCCAGTTGCTGGAAAAGGAAGCTTGATTAAAGCTGTCAGTCCTGTTGAAAGTTGACAGCTTTATTGTCTTTAGATGTGTGGATAGCTGTGCACAGAGGTAGTGGGTGAAAAAAATCTGTGTCAGAATTGAAGCAGTAGTATGCAGTTAAACTTGAAATTAGTCTAGGATGTACTGGGAGAGAAAAAGTGTTCTTGGCAGCAGCCAGAAGGAGGTTCAAGTTTTGAAATCTTACAATATTTTTTAGGGAGATATTTTCAAAATTCCCAGACGTGTAATTTTTGCTGTCTCCCTTCCTTTATGAAGATGGAGCCAAGCCTATATTCAATGTGTTTTTTTCTTCCTTTGCTTTTATAGATATTTTTTTCTTTTTTTTTTTTTAAAAAAAAAAAGTAAAGCAAATACTTTCTAAGTATTCATTGTGTGTGGATAGTAGGATGAACTACTAATGCTGCTAACAACAGCATATGCTTAATAAAGGGAGAAGATTTCTTCCAGTTTTAATGTTTTGTGTGGTTTTCATATTTACCTTTTAGCATTCAGAAAACTCATCTGTTTTGGATTCTTCTTTCTAGTTTTTGTTTCTGATATTATGGACAGCAAATGAACTAAAGCTCTTCTCTTTACACGGGAAATGATTGCTTGTGACTTTGACATCTTCCAGTATTTGCCACGGTTCCTTAAATTCAATTTCACCTTCTGTTTTGTTTATTGCTGTGCTCCTCTGGTAAAATTTCTCAAACCTAAATATTTAGACTAAGTTGGAAATCTGGTCAACATCTTTGTTTTAGTCTTTCTATTTAGCTGTTGACTGTATAACCTTAGTATTGGATGCTTTTTTCCTTGGGTGTTTTCTTTTAGTCGTTCTTATATTCTTCCCCCGCCCCCTGCCCCCCCCCC